GAGGAGACGATTGATAACATTTTGACATATCTCTTTCCAGTATTTTTCTATGCATTTTCTCTCATGTTGTTAAGATCGTATAGAATATATAGAATTTTATATTCTGCTTTTTTGTCTCACATGATGATGGTACCTCCCCATTCTATACAAAAATTTAAAGGTTACATAATAGTTAATATGCCAGATTTTACTTATTTCTGTAAAGTGAACATTTTTGCATTTTAAATATTTTGAGTTGTGATAAACACTTTTGTGTATAAATCTTTGTTTTAATTTGCATTCTTTTTCAAGGACAGATTGCTAATAGATTTACTAGGTCAAATCTATGATCATTTTAATAGCTTTGAAGTTTCTTACCCAATTGCTTCTAGAAAGAAAATACCAATTTCATGTGCAACTTCAGTGTGTAAGAGTGTTTATTCAGTTGCCCTTCTAAACAAACTTTAATATGCATGCATGCGAGAATATTGAAAAATTTACTAGTTTTGCCAACACAGAATATTTCCTTGTTCCCCAAGTCTGCTTTTTAAGTTTTTTTATTGTGACTTTGGCAACAAGGAATGTGCTTTCTTTAGATATATGTGTACACATGCATTATATAAATGGATTTGGAAAGAGTGGTAACTGAATAAGAATTACCAGTCTCGTTAATGAAACTGGCAACAGGCTGGAATTACTATAAGATAAGCAGATACTCAAAACCTTTTGCTTTCTCTTTTAGATGAATGGAAAAATGATCAGATCTCATTTTAAAATATTTTTACAGACAAAAAGAGAACTGGAGATCTTTCTGTTATACACTGGCCTAGAACAAGCCCAATAAAAATATTTTACTGTTATTTTGGTGAGTATAGGTTGATTATATAAGAGTTAGATTTAAATTATTATCTGTCCTTTCTCAATTTCTGAAACTTTGTACAAAGCTTTCAAGTGATAGGAATACCATTTAGGGCAGAGTGAAAACAATTTTAAACTGAACCTTTAGTCTACTGAATTTTATCAACTGAGAGACCTTAAAGCAAGGGTTGGCAAACTTGGGCTCATAGGCCACATTTGGCATGCTGCCTATTTTTTGATAGCCTGTGAGCTAAGAAGGGTTTTTACATTTTTAAATGGTTGAAAAAATGAAATGAATATTTCATGATGTGTGAAAATTATATTAAATTTAAATTTTTTTTGCCCATATACAGTCTTATTGGAACACAGCCACACTCATTCATTTCTGTATCACCTATGGCTGCTTTACATAGAGTTGAGTAGCTGACAGAGACTGTAAGATCCTGAAAGCTTAAAATATTTACTATCTGGCCCTTTACAGAAAAAGTTTGCCAACATCTGTCTTAAAGTAATATAGGATTTATATTTTCGTCACTGTTTGTTTAGTGAGTATTTCCAAGATGCTCTGCTGCTCATCAAAATTAATTCTTACCTTGTTACATTTTGAATTTTTAAATATCTGCCATTTTTCACAAGCTTATGAAACTTCTTTTATACTCATTTTGAAAAGAATATTTTATTATTTTCTACAGCTCTGTCTAGAGCCCATCTGCATCTGCTTGATGGTTTGATTACTAAAATTAAGTCATTGGTAATTGGAATTCTATAATTCTGAAAAAAAACTCAGTATAATCCATAAACTGTGCATGTATGAGGCTAAAAGCAGTGTAAATTCTTACACACAAGGTAGAGGCAAATGGTGTTCACTATTAACCAGAAAAGGAAGTTTACTTGAAAAGCCTATATACAAATCTTACTAGTTGGTGGAGATGTTACTATGTTTGGTTTGACTAAATTAAACAAAGCTTCCCTTGACTCCGAGCTGCACATACTGCCTATATTCTGGAGAAAGATTCCATAAACACACAGTTCTAGTCCTTAAATTCAATTTAGCATAATGTGAAGCACTTCTTTTGAGAGCCAATCCCTTGCTGGTTATTGTTCTCATCTAGCTTGATCCGAAGTCTACTGAATTAGGATATTTAAAGGGCCCTTTGTGGTGGCATCTATGATTCTGTGCAGCTGAATATGCTCAATTATTCCCCAGGAAATAGTTTTGTTCTTCCTTTGTTTGTTTAGGCAAGAAATTATTGTGGGATATCCAGCATTTTAAGTGATTTTGCCCCAGAGCATGTGCTAGACACTATAAGGAGAGTTTATGACTTTTAATTCTAAAAGGTTTCTCAGTTTTGAATTTCTAGAATTGGTTATATCCATGTTTCTTCCCATCCTATTGGGACTTAACTGTTGTTAGCAACCTCCTGTGTGGTTCTAAGATATCTTGACCTCTTTGAAATCTTTCCAGGTGTCATTGCCACTTTCTTGATCTCTGCAATGTAAGCTACATTGTTTAGTGGAGCTAAGTTCCATGAACTTTAGAAATCCTCCCTGAGACTATGAATTGACTAACACCCAAGGTAGCATAAACATGGAGACACAAATGTTCCTAAACCTAAGCTTGCTGGGCAATGCAGGATATGACTTGGGAGTCTGGGAAAAGGAACATTTTGCTCACTTGTGCTTCTATGACTAGCTCCAGGTGCAGTTTGAAACGAAGTGGCTAGTTTTTCTGATCCTCAGATGTAACCTCTCATTAGAACAGAATTTGCAATTGTGAATGTAAGGAATTCCACAAAGACCCTCTGGGCCCATTAAGGCCTCTGGCTTCAGAGAGTCCTAAAACACACTTAGTTCAGCATAGAGAGATGTAGTAAAGAGACACTGATTTTTACAGATTTCATCTAGGTTTTAGCCTAAAGAAGATTGTAATGATTCCAGCTCATCTTAAAATTTGCACCCAAAAGATACAGTTATAAATTTAAAAGAAAAAAACAAAGTTCTTATTATTTCTGGTGATACAGTTAAGACTTTGCAAGGGTTTGTACTTTAACTAAGAACCCCACGTTAGTCTAGCTTTAGATGTGACTTACTATACCAGTGATTTCTCAGCTCTTTTCTTAAAACCTGACAGCTTGGCTATTCTAACAGAGGAATCACGCTGCCAAAACTTAGGGGAGTGAGACAAAGTTGTGGAAATAACACTACATTGAGAATCAAAAGATAAAGGACTCAGTCCCAATCCTATCACTACCTAATTAATTAACATCTCCACTTGTCTCTGTAGCTATAAAATATGCAAAACAAATTACACAAAGGATGCTGTGAAAACAAAACTAGTAATAAATACAAAAGGCCTTGAAATAGTGCCAAAGAGTATAAATGTGAAAGGTGTAGTGGTGACAGTGCTTGTCCACTCTTCTTTCCTGTTCATCTCCTTCCCACCTAGAAACTGTCCATAACAAGACTGTTGTCCCTCACACTCCTGAGCCATCTGTTGTTAGGATCACCCTTTCCACCCTGGCTCCAGTGTCTAGGGAATCCTGGAGGTCACTGAGGGCTATGCTAGCTATGCATCTTCAAATGGCTGTGAGGAGAGTTAGGCTTCCTCTGCTTTGCTTTCTATTGGCTAAGGCCTGCAGCTTGCTGTGTGCGTATGGGTGAAGTGGCTACAGGTATAGTGGACAATTACACATTACTGCAGCTTCTCAGAGGCTTCTTTCCTGCCACTAATAATAGTTCATTGCTGGGAATGCAATTATCATGGAAACTTTCAGATCTAAAAGGCTATACAACAAATGTTAACACATACTCTCTCTGGGTGGTTGGGATTATAGGTGTTTTTATTTTGTTTTGTCAATACATCTGTATGTTCTCACTTTGGCAATCCATAAGAAAAAAGTTTAAAAAAGAAACTTAATTATGAAACAAACAAAATGTCCTTTAACTATGTTATAAGGGGCAAACAACTTAAAAACTCTGAAATTTCTCAATAGGATAATCAGAAAATAAAGGTGTGTGATTCACCCTAAAAATATGAGAGCAATATCACATCATGTGAGAAATTTTTCGAAGAACTTTTATGAGAAAAAGATTTATGTAGTTTTAATGTCCTGTCAGATTAATATGAACTAAATAAATATATTTAAATAAGAAATACTACACTGTATCTACTTTTCCCAATTTTATGCCAGTAGTGTGGCAATCTGATGAAAAAACAAGAAATTAGTACCTTCCTATCTTCAGATGGAGCCTGAAGGTATAACATATTCTGAAGCTGGTCTATAGACCAGATGGGAAAACTTGTTCTCTAATCTAATGACTTTCTTTTAATCACAAGCAGACAGTAGTTTTCTTATTACCCAGAGTTTTAGAAATACATTATTCTTGAGAGTACTTCCTAGGATTTCTTTTACTCATTTAAGACCACATCTTTGTATTTAATTCATGCTCATATTATCCCTGCAGGGCACATCTCTCTAATTATTCCCATCTAAAGTGACAGGAAAATAGAATTATACTACTTGGAAAACAGACATCCTTTGGTATGTCTTTTTTCAGTGCTCCCTTGAGCATAGTTCATCATTGTCTTCATTGTGTCACAGATTGTGAGCTGTCCTTGGAGGGTAAGAGCCGTCACTTACCTGTCTTTGAATTCCTAGTGCCTAGCGTGTGCCTGGTACAGAGTATATATACAGAAAAAATCAGAATAAACAAATAATAATACCCAATGCATAACGATTATAGTATATCAAGCAGCAGTCTAGTGCCTTATATGTTTAATTCATTTAGTCCTCACAATCCCATGAAATAAGTACTATTTTTATTCCCATTTTACTTACGAGAAAACTGAAGACTAGAAAGTAAAGCAAGGTCACACAGAGCCAGGATCCAAACATGGCTCTAGAGTCAACGTCTTAATCAGCACACTCTGCTGTCCCACCAGCACCCATGCTAATCAGGAAAATGCTCCATTCCAAGAGAAGCATGGGTACATTGTGCTTCCACCTCTAAACACCTCCTGGTTTCCGTCAGTTGTAGTTACCACTGTGTGGTTCTTTGGGAGACTTAAAAAGGGAAACAACTGGACACAGGCACACAAATGCAGAATAAATGAATTCCCAACCTTAACAATTGCTGTGTTTGTAAGGCTGTTTCTAAAATACCTGTGGGGATTTGTGAGAGCGCCAGCTGTACTGGTGACTGTGGAGACTCGCCAGCAGAATATTTTCATCAGTATCCACCTGGCCAAACCGCAGTGTCTCCTGTGTGTCATTACAGATCACAAAATGGCTGAAAACCAACTCTTCTACCTCAGGGCATTTGTTCTGAAAGAAAAAGAATACGAAAACCAACGTGTATCAGATTAATTGCAAGATGTTTGGCAGCTGTCTGCCTGGTGGCCATTGTTACAACACAGAAACCCTAAAAGATCTGTTGTCATTAGCTCTGGTATACAAAGTATTCTATACTTCCAGAATAAGCACACAGAAAAAATACCTGAAAGAGATCTTAAATGTTCCAAGAATGTGTTTTGATTTATACTCCTACAAAATAAATCATACAAACAGAGGAGCAAAAGAACAGTGAGATCCCTCAAACTTTTTAACATTTCTTAAAGTGAATTAACATGCTACAAAGAGTGCTGTATAGGGTAGTGCACGTTTTTGAACAGAGTACTGGAGGCTAGAATTACCATGTTCCCAGCCTTCTAAACTCAACAATCAAGACCAATTACCAAAGCCACAGTTTGTACCCTACAGAAAGTAAGCATCATTTAGGTAAAACATCCCCAGATCCCTTAAGGGGGAGGGAGGGAGGCAGGGAGTGCGTGTGTGTGTGTGTGTGTGTGTGTGTGTGTGTGTGTGTCCCTTAAGGGGGAGGGAGGGAGGCAGGGAGTGTGTGTGTGTGTGTGTGTGTGTGTGTGTGTGTGTGTGTGTGTGTGTGTGTGTGTGTGTGTGTGTGTGTGTGTAAATCTGCTCAGGGAGAGATGTAAATAAAACCATAACTTTCCCTCTATTGTTAAGAGGCTGAACATACAAAACAGATCAACTCCAAACTCAGAGAAAGCCAAGTTTTCAAGAGAAATAATGTTAAGTTGAAAAACAGTTTTCAGTATCTGTTTCAGCTAATAGCCATCAATCAGCTAATATCCTTCATTAATCAGCTAAGGCTCAGCAAATCAGTAATATGTTTCTGTGTTGATACATCCTTTTTCAACTTAATGGTGTCTCCACTGATTGCTGTTACATCAAAATGCTGGCAAAATGATAAAATATTTCTGTGCTTACTCTTTTAGTTAGGTCATGGCTTAAAAACAATAAACATACTTCTGGTAAACTAAAAGAATAGCACAATAAATATCTTGAGAATATAAGAAAAATCATAATTAGCTAATCAATTTGGAGATGATAGGTAATAATACGTAACTGATGCTTCTCCAGTTGCTTCTATCACGTGGCTATGGATCTAAATAATGTCAAAATGCCACACTCTATCCTGCGGGAAGGGAGAGTAAATAGAGATACCACTCGGAAGCACAGTGATTCAAGAGATTAGGAGGCATGGAGACAGAGTCTACGGATGAAAGTACCTGGAATCCATCCTGGACCAAAATCAGACCTAGAACTTTATCAGGCTACAGACTCTCCTTGGGAAACAGAATCCACTCCTAGTCATCCTGAATGCCCTGGGAGCAGGGGACAGTGCTCTATGCTGCAGGTGGTAAAATGGCCCTGACATACCTCATTCGTCCAGAGGCCCTTGAGAACTTCTAAACCCTCTCTCTATCATCCGTCTATTCTCACTCAACTGAACCTTGCTTGACAGCCTCACTAATCACCAAGAGTTTCTGGCTAGGTGAGACCAAAGCACTTATAACCAACAATTACCTGTTGTCTACCCTAATACTCTCTGCTGTGGCTTTTAAGCATTAGCCATGATTTCAAAACTTGCCTGCTGCTGGGTTTTAGATGTCCTGCCTTACCTGGCCCCTCCCCACAGCTCCAGCTGCACCTCGAGCTACACCCCATTTGCTGATGACATTTGCTCGCGGCACTCCAGCTCAACCAGCTCGACTTAGCCGTTTTCAGCTCCTCCAACACTACACTGGCCTCTTTTCAATTCACTCAACATGTAGAACTACTTCGTACCTCAATGCCTTCCCTCTGCTTGGATTTTCCTCTTGCTTGGCTAACTTGTTTCTATTCAGCTTTCAGCTGCCATTTCTAAGGTCACTTCAGAGTAGCCTTCGGAGATGCTCCCCAGATCAAGTTAGGTTCCCCTATTTTATGCTCGCATAACACTCTATGTTTTCACCTTCAGAGCACTTGTTAATTTGTACCATTATGGGTTTGGAATTGTCTTTATCATTAGACTCCATGCTACATAAAGGCAGCACCCAGGTCTGTATTATTTACAATTTTATTGCCAACACCCAGCATAATGTCTGCTATGTTAAGTACTCAATAAATACTTAGGAAAAAATAAAAGCTGGGTAGATTCAGTTTCTAAAATTACAATTGTAATGTATATTCACTGTATAAAAGTTAGAAAATACAGAAAGTATGGATTTAAAAAAATCTCTAATTTTATACTCAGTGATAACTGCTATTAACATTTTGGTGCATTTTTGTTCAAGCAATTTTTCTCTTCTGGATGTCCTTCCTGTTACTATTCCAGTCTATCCTACCCAATCCTATCTTATATATTTATCTACAAACCTTTAATCAAACTGGAATCAAAGTGTGTAATTAGTTTTGATGAGATTTTTCCATTTAGCATTATATAATCAACACAAACTGCTTTCCTTGTAAACACTTTTCTCTCCTTTCAGTCTAAGAGTACAGACATGAAGAAAGGGATATGATTCCAATCTCCCACTTAGTTACACATCCTGAGATTAAAACTCAGTTTTCATAATGAATTGGGATCAATCTGCTAGTAACAAAGAGGTTAAGTTACCAGATGGAGCTTAAGTAGAAAAAAAAATCATATTGCTTTCCTCATATCTAAAAACTGACCTTTAATAAATGATGAGGGTTTTAGGAAAAAATGTAAATTAAAGAACACAAGGGGGTTGTTTACATTTTTCTAAAGAATACGCAAAGTCCTTCGGGAACTATTTCTCTACTGCTCCTTCATCTGTGGAGTTTATTATAACTGTAATAAGTTTAAGCATTTCTTGGACTGTTTTAAGTCCTGGTATAGTATAAAAAAGTGCATATACATTTTATGTGACATCATACATGTTGAGCCGCAGAATGCTCACTTGGGTTTGTAATTAAAAGATGACTAATTCACACTTTAGTTTCGTGGAGTGTCACACAGGCATTTGCAATTAAACAGAGATACCACTTTGGTGTAACACAAGGTTATACCTGAGTATAACCTTAATTTAAAAAAACAAACAAACAAACAAACCCCTTAAATGCTATTTTGTCCAAATCTGTGAAAGTGATATAGAAATATAAAGCAAACTGCAAGTGGCATTTTGGGTCCTTAATCTGTTTTCACAAAACAGTCATCATTTATAAAAGAGAAAAAAAATCTACAACCAGAGAAATCAGACACTGATGAAGCCTTCTGTTAATCTTGAACTCATGACCTAAAGGTAGAAGGCCAAATTGTTTCATGCTTCAACTGACTGGTCCATCCACGCTGGATAAAAATGACTTGTCTCTGATATGAGTCCAACAAAAAGTATGTGGAGAACTCAAATCACTTACTCTGCTTATTAAATTCAAATTTTTCACTGGCAATAATTATACTGTATGTGAGCATTATACACACAATAAAATCCAAGTTTGAGAAACTAAACTTCCTCTTCTAAAGGGGACAAACCACATTCAGACTATCTTAGAAACAAAGAACTTAATAAACCTCTATAAACCCATTTCAATGTCAAATGTCCCATCATTTCAAAGCAGTACATTTTTGTATTTACTTTAGAATGCACAGGGTTAGGTGCCTACCACATTAAAACTTGGTGGCAAGTACCCTTGACATGGGAGGAAACAAGAAAATTACAGCAACAATTACAGAAGTATATCCTCTTGTGGCTCATGTTAACATTGCCAAATCCTTGTATAAATCAGAATCAACTATTCATAGAATGTACCTGTCAGCAATATGCTATGTGACATATGGCTCTACTTAATCAAATATACAATTCCATTTTTTTAAAAAACTCAGAATATTCCTTCAAGGCACTGTGTTAGCCAGTCAGTCATTCACACTCTGATGTGGTTTAAAACATTTAAATATTTATGCACCATATTTTATTTATATGTATAGCTGTGTCTAAGAGAATATTTTTACCCTAGGAGGAAAATGATATTTCTGAAGGCCATTTTGCAGTAGTTGCTGTACATGAGTCTTCTTATGATGTCTCTGATACCAAGACAAAAAAAAATCCTGAGTTTAAATGCTCTATCAGTGACTCTTTTATATTTTCTAGGTTTGTTTTTTATTAAATGCATTGTTCAAAATATGACAAAAAAACAGAAATCGGAAAATGGAGCCATGGAGGTTTTTTTCACATGGCTATTTGAACCAGCTGCAAAGATTTAGATCACACTAGCTCTTATTTTACGCATGTCCTTTGCAACAAGAAAACCATGGAATGCCCTTAAAAAAGATTTTTAAAATATAAAACAGATGTGTTATCTTCTTTCCCTTTGCAATGGTAGTGCCATGTTAGGTAATTAATTCCTTAGTCGTGTACAGGTCTTCATGCATATAAAGAAAATAGTTTATTCCCATAAAAATTCTTAAGTTAGAGAACTAAAGCCCCTCCCCCCCTTAACTGCCCCTGTCCCTGAAAAAGGTCAGTGAGGGATGAAGGACCATTTCTCTTGGGGAGCTAGCTTCACACAAATATACGTAACATACAAAAAATGTGGGGAAATGTCTCAGCTTAAACAGCAACTCAAACTTGATGGAAATACAGGAAATACAACACTGAAAATCAGTAATAGAAGAAGAAGAGATTTGTTCTTAAATGGCTAAATGTAGTAGCATTCAAACGTTCTGTGAAATTACTTCCATGTTAGTAGGTATAGCTAGGTTTTCCATTTTAAATATGCTATTTATCATAGATTTATACTTCTCTCTTTTTTGATATGGCTAATTTCTGATAAGAGATACAAGTAAAAAATTACTAATCAAGAGTCTCTAATCTAAAAAACCTATTATCTAGTGCTTTTAAGTGAATCAAAAAGGCAGAATGATAGTAGAGGAAAAGATTAAGATTATATCATGCTCACATATTTCATCTCACTGCATTTTTTGTTTGAAAAGATGAAATGCTTATTATCAAAAAGGCTCACACAGATTTTTCATTTCTGCAATGGACACTTAGACAATTTGATACATAGCTAAGTTGAAGGTTTGGCAAACTAAAGCCACAACACTTGGAAAAAATTTCTGGGAATATGTTACTTTCCACACAGATGTGGTACATTAGTCACAAAAATGTGAGCATGATCTCCAATGCATGTGTAGAGAACCCATATATTCCAAAGTTTTTCAAAAAGAACATGCATCACTTTGCCAAAACAGAGAAGGTTCGAATATTATGGTGTCCATCAAATTCTTCATTCTTTCACATTTTTGTTTGAATTTAACTTATTATTAGAAGTGATAACATATAGTACCTAATAAAAGATCCTATGTGGCCAAACTATAAACTGTTCCGGAATGTGCATACCTGTTGCCAAGCTTGTAGCGCAGTGTTTAGAGAATGAACTACATGCTGTCCAAAGTTTACAAATACAGAGTCAACTATCACGGTGCAGTCAAGCAGCTTTTCTATGGCATCATTGGAAACTGCAATCTGTCCAGAGACACTGAAGGGTTTCACCACGCTTTGCATAGTAACGTTTCTGCACTCTAGAAGTTTACAGTCTGCTTGAGCTGAGAACTGGATCTCCTGACAGACAGAATCATTATTCCACTGTCGAAGATACATGTGTGGTTCTCTGAAGGAAACAATCATGTATTCCAGTTCAGATGGCACATTTTTATCAGAAATGAACGGCTGTAGGTATTGCAGTGGAGCTGTCAAGAAAACAAACAAGAAAAATAGCAATTAAGATAAGCCCATACTTTATGAACATAAAGAGTGAGATGACATTTAAATTATTCACAAAAAGATCATTGAATTTAGTATTTGGTGTTTAATAAATTCAAATATTCTCTTGAAGACATTATAATCTTTGAATTATCATTTGATATTTGCAAACAAAACTGTTCAATCAGGTCTCTTAAGTATATATTGTTCAACGGTTACTTTCACTTTAATAGAGAAAAAATTGATCACAACAAATAAAATGAAGAGGAGGTAACTATCTAAGGAGAGTTTTATAAAACTGCTCTGTATCTACTAACCAAATCTCAAAAACAAAAACATGACTCAAAGGGAGTTAGAAAAAGCAGATTAAACTACATTTTTGCTGAAAAGGCAAGATGCTTAACAGCAGCTATGTTTGGTTTTAATCTGATTTCCCCCCCCTTTTCCTTTACATGTAGGTTGAAAACCTAATACCTGAATCAAAATGTATTAACTAGAAAAGGTTTCGTATAGAATATAATGCTTTAGAAATAATTATTCAAGTAACATTAGCAAATTTATAAAAGGCTACTTTTGGTGTGCGGTAAAATTTAAACTTCTTCCTTCTTCTGAACTTGTAAAAATGAGACTCTTTTAAATTAATTGGAGAATATGCCCATCTTTGGTAGAAGGTATTCATGCTTTTGAAATTAGGCAATATCAAGTACTTTTGGAAATTATTTGCTACCAACGTAATGGCTCAGAATACAGAACAAAAGCAGATATACTTCTTTCAAAAACGTCATAATTGGAATAATACTAAAATCTACAATTTCAGTCACTTCCTTGAAAATTCTCATTAGGAAGTATGCAGAAACATGTCAGCTCAATACCAGTGGTAACTTATATAACAGGACCATAAGCTGGTTCAAAAGTAAGGAGCACACCTGTTATACTAAACCAACTTCAGAATAATTTTGCCACTGTTCACTTTATACTTCCTGAAAATAAATTATGTAAGTAAAAATTTATGAATTTTGTCTTGAGAACACTAAAGCAAAAACAGTCAGTAATAAGTGGATGTTAATTTGATGCTAAGGGAAAGAATACCTGTGCCTAGTTGATCAAGGTGATGACAAAGGTGGAACTCCAGGTGAGCAAATTGGAAGGCAATGCAAAGAGAAGGCACAAACCACGGGGTAAAGCAGGAGTCGACTCTGGTACAGGCGGCAAGGGCTGTTGGAGTTACAAGTGGATCACACGTGCTTTGAGAACCAGATTCACTTGCAGAGCTATGGGATATAAGTAATAAAACAAGTTCGGTAACTTAAATTTCCCAAGATCATGTAAGTCAAATGTCTTTCAATAAGAGTTTTTAAAGCTAGTAGCCCAAATCCTACAGTCAATACGTTATCAAATCTTTTGTATTTACTCTCATAAACTAGCTATTTTTAAAAAGTAAGTTCAGTTCATGTTGATTATTCTCTATGAATTGTTGGCAGGAAACTTTCAAAGGATTCTTTGACCCCCAGGTCATGTTGATCTAACTCCAACTCAATTTTCATCCATCCGCATCTCACGTAACTTATGTGCAATTTGTTCTCATATTAGTTTAAGACCAACACAGTTCAGAGTATAAAAAAAAACAGTACATTCAGTGTCAGCATAAATGTTTCAGTTTTGTTTTACTTTTCCAGATTGTCCATATCCATAAACCCTTATGAGTCAGTCAATACTCTTATTGAATATCCCCTGAATACTGTACTAGGTGCCGTAAAACTTACGACCATGTCCAGAAGAACTAGGGTCCCATGGACAATTACGCTGTGTGGGTCCTCAATTTCACTTGCCCATCCCCTTAACATCATTTTATACAAGTTAAATCTGATTAAAATGAATAGCAAAGGCATCAACAGGAAGGAAGATGTTTGTGCATGGTGGTTCCTGGTGTGCATAGGAAGCATGTTGCTTACATTCCATTAGTGCTAATAAAAGCATGAGAGTTGGGAATTTGGGGGTTTTGGCAGGGATGGGGAGGGAGAAAAAGATGCATCCTATTATTTGTAGACCACTAAGTGGATGCTCCTCTTTTCCCCTCACCATCTTTCACCCTCTTCTCTCCAATCTGAAATTTGCTCTGCAGCTAGAGTAGCCTGGCTCCCAAATCCATGAAGAGCCTGGACAACAAACACTGTGATTTACAGTATCCTAGGGAGAACTACGAAAGGAAAAACTAAAGAAGTAAGTCCCTGATTTTCAAAGAATTCACAGTCTAACTGGTGATACTCAATATGTAGACATTTACAAACATTACAAAACAGAATCACCACCCAGGAATAGGAAAGTTGGAAGTGCTGCCAGAGTGGAAACATAAGAGGAACTCAATGGTGTGGGGTGAATCATGTGGGATTCTCAGAGGTGTGAATCTTCAGCTGGGTTTTGAAAGAGGTTGTGAAACGGAATGGTGGAAATGAAAGCTAGGAGCATTCCAACATGTTTACTGAGTTGTCTAACCTCAAAGAGTTTACAGTAATGTGGTGGTATTTACTGCAATGTTAGTAAATCTCCATTGCATACCAAAAAAAAAAAAAAAAAAAAAACCAAAAAAAACCAGACTATGGGGCACTAGGTTATTCACTAAATGCTATGCACAAAAATGCAGCTAAGTATATTCTATAAACATCTATAAATGGGCACACTGATCCAAACAACTTTCTAGGAATTTATCTGTGCAGTTACAAATAAAAGATTTCATCAGCAAAGTAAAATTAAAACTAGTATTTATTCAAAAAGAGCAAAATATATTAGTTATGTATGTGTTTTACACATTTGAACTCTTTCCCTTATACTACTTAAAGAAGTTGTTAGAAATAGGGCACAATGTTAAAATATTAAAAATCCAAGCAAGAGTTCTATGAGATCAATTTTAAAACAGTGCATGGACAATTTGAGGTGCTTATCTGAAGCATTTTTCTTGCCAACTATAGTCTTTTTTTTTTTTTTTTGAGATAGCATCTTTCTCTGTTGTCTGGGCTAAAGTGCCATGGCATCAGCCTAGCTCACAGCAACCTCAAACTCCTGGGCTCAAGCAATCCTCCTGCCTCAGCCTCCTGAGTAGCTGGGACTACAGGCGCTCGCCACCACGCCCAGCTAATTTTTTCTATTTTTAGTAGAGACGAGGTCTCGCTCTTGCTCAGGCTGGTCTCGAACTCCTGACCTCAAGCAATCCTCCCACCATGGACTCCCAGAGTGTTAGGATTACAGGTGTGAACCACTGCACCTGCCCACAACTATAGTTTTTGATACTCAGATTTTCCAAGATTCATTTTTCTGTCTCTTGAGAATGGCAGATAATTATAACACATTAGAAAAGGTTGCCAAAACATCATGAGATTCTGATACAATCTTTACTTATAACAAACTGATTAATTCCTCACTTTTCCTAAATTAAACACACCAATCAATGGTTAGAGATCTTTTTAGGTATATGTACAAAATCACAAAATCATACTCAGGTGGTCAGCAATATTCTTTCAATCTTGAAATCCTGACTAAAATAGTTACTAAGTTAACCTATGTTCAAAAAATTATAGTTTTATTAATTAAAAATTTGAGTCATCAAAATCAAACATTTCTTAAACACAAAATATGGTAATATAATCTGAATATATTTTATATTTTGAATCACTACATTTATAGTTTTTTGATACTCAACTTGATCACCATTATCTACTATAAAAGTAGCATATATGTGCCTACCTTTTCCACAAGGATTAAAAAGACCTAAGGATTAAAAAGAACTAAATAGTCATAAATAAGAGTGATGACCCTGCTAGAGACTAAAGTAGCTATATTTGTATAATTTCCTTAATTAGATATAACAATGGACTTTGATCTGATTTAGATATCAAAAGGAAAAACATAATTTATGAGATATATAATAGGCAAAAATAGAAAAGTAAAAAAAAAAACCCTACGATCTACAATATTTATATTTCAACACTTCCCTTTTCCCAAAAGATTTTCAAAATAGGTTAAATTCATGGCCAATGGCAGTACATACAGATTTCTCCGGTGCTTTTCACTTCTAACACGCTGGAAAATGGCTCCTAGAAGCAAGACTTCTCAAATAGTAATAAGCAGAACTCAAGATTCAGTAGTTTGTTCAAATTATCTGTAAGTTCAGGTATAAACTCAAATTTTTAGAATAGTGAAAATATTCTAAATAGTGGAAAGTATGGCAGGAGTTTTACATATCTATACCTTCATTTTAGCCAAATGGTTACTTACCAACTGTCCTAGGTGACCTGTAGAGGGGTATCAGTTCTTTAAACAAGGAGTATCCCCTCTGTCTAGATGTAGATTGATTCTATCTTAATGTCACTATGGGGACTCAGGTATAATCTCTAAAGACTCACCGATGAGTGTCATTCTGGGGTAAACCCCTCAAGCACAGCTAGTACCAAACAGTTATCTGACTTGAATGATGAAGACTTGAGCTTCTGTCTGGATCCCTCTGTGGTAATAAGGGTTTTGCAATATAGCAAACTATAGCATAGAGATTAAGCAGAGAATGGCTAGGGTAGGAGAATCTAGATTAAAATGTGCACACTGCTATCATTTATACTGTAATATTGAGTAAGTTATTTCATCTGGCTATATCTCAGTTTTCTCATTTATAAAATGAGTATAGCAAGTAGACTTAGTTCTTGAGTACTACATGAAATAATGCATACAAACTACCCAGCACAACGTCTACCATTTAATAACAGGAAAAAACCCATTCGTCTTTTTCTTGTTGGCAAAACAAGGTACCATATTGGTTACTTAGTTTAACGTTAAATATCTTTACCTACCCAAGAGCGACCTCACGATATCACATGGGCATTCATCTCAATGTGGCACTACCTCTCAACATTGGTTCATGTAAACCCTCTGCTGCCCACTGCACTAACACTGCTCTGTCCGTCCTGGGAGACTGCTGAACGGACCAGAGAGGACACAGGAAGATGTATGTGCCTGCCACACCACATTCTCTCTACTCCTTAGAGTTGTCATCTTTTAAAATGTCTTAATCCCAAATAACAAATATAGCTTTATTGTAACCCAGTATATATATATAAAACAGGGGAAAAAATGTTTCCTGAAAATATGATACACACTGATATTTTTTATTGTGATCAGATACAGATACCACAAAATTGATCATTTTAACCATTTTAAAGGGTATACTTTTTAAAATGACATTAAGTACATTCACACTGTTGTGTAACCATCACCACCATTCATCTCCAGAACTTTTTTATTTCCCCAAACTGAAACTCCATACCCATTAAACACTAATTCCTCATTCTCTCCTCCCCCAGGCTCTGGCAACCACTACTATATGTTCTGTCTCTATGAATTTGGCTACTCTTGTTATGTCATATAAATGGAATCATACAACAGTTGTCTTTTTCACACTGATATTCTCTACTTATTTTATTTAAAAAATTCCAATTGCAACGTGCTAAGTTATTTCATGACCCAATAATGGGTTGCAATTTGTAGTCTGAATGAGGGCCTTAAATGAGCCCTCCAGTAAAGGACTCCTTTAACTCTAACTTTAAGAAAAAAAAGGAAGACAGAATCATTTCCCAAGATTCATAGAATAAGCAACATGACACAGAGAGCTCGTCAGTACCATTGGCCTAGAACTTTAAATGAGACCTGAGGAATACTTGAGTACTTGGGGGAATGTATATGGGAGAAGGGCTAGATGGCAAAAGATCTACTCCTTACCTAGAGTTCAATCACCAACTAAAAGGAAATAGCAAAAGACCTCAAAAGCAGACTTCGGGAAAAAATATAAGCATTCCTTCACCCAAGGAAGAGAAGGTAATGTTCAGGTTTAGCCCTAGGAAAAAAATAAAGGAGAGGATTTTCCGGATAAGTCCTGGATTTTACCTGTGTGTGACTAAGGTGGCAAAGCAGTTCCAATGTCAACATTTATGTCTGAATGGCTTATAAAACTAAAAAAAAAAAAAGTTATCCAAAAATCCTAGGTATATCTAAAAATGCAGATCCAAGTAGCCACATGGAGAGGAACAATATCTGGGGGGCCACAGTTACCTCCTGGTAGGAGAGAGTTCAACCAGCAGAGAAAAGAAACTATTCAGGGACTTACCTACCAGCACTCTTTCTCTGATTCTTCCACTGTCTACATAGGGAAGAATCAAGGCTTTGGGAAACAAAAAGCAGTTCCTCTTCCTCCTCCTCCTCCTCCTTCTCTCTCTCTCTCTCTCTCTCTCTCTCTCACACACACACACACACACACACACACAGAGCTGTGGATCACTGTCTCAAAGAAGACCAAATATGAGTGGACAGTGATTTCTTTTACGGGATCTTAGGGGAGTAGGAAGAAAAAAAATACATACACACATACACACCCCTGTGCACGTGGAGAGGGAGAGGGAGGGAGGGAGGGGGAGAGAGAGAGAGAGAGAGAGAGAGAGAGAGAGAGAGGGAGGGAGGAAGGGAGGGAAAGGCACATCCAAAGATGATAGCATTTCAAAACACTCACCAGAGGTTCAATTTTCATCACACAAGGAAAGAGCCACCCACCCTTAGGCCATTTCTCTCTCCAGGATGCCCCCCATCATGAATTGGCATTTTGGGGGTGGGGATAAAAAGTCCTTATAACCAATCTGCTCTCACATGTTTTAATGTTAAGAAAGGACCATGCAATATGGACAAAAAAGCGCTAAAGACTTGGCATAGATCAACAGAGTTCAATGTTATCATCAAACAAATTAAAACAAAGTTAACTGGAGATATATATGAAGATCTACACAGTTATTACTGTGTTATGATACATGCCTGTAATTTGTGTGATTTCACATAGCCAAAATGAGTACTTCTGAAATTAGGTCTTTGGAGGTAAAGGGAAGAGGGGAAAATTAAAGCAAAAAGTTGTTCTGGTCCATCAGAAGACATCTGATTGATACCGAAGCCAGGGAATCTGGGAGGGTAGCCCAAAGCCTGAGAGAAGGGCCCTTGATTCCTTTTCTCTTTTGTTCCTCCGAGGGGCCAGTCATTGGGTGAGAAACTGTAAATTACAAATAAGACTGTGTGCTTGCTGGATATTTTCTGTTTGCTCTCCAGATCCACCGTCTACCTTTCTCCACCTTCCTTTCTCCTCTACAGAAAGGTCTGTAGTCCAGACCTCCCTGGACTACATCAACAAGCTGCTTTGTCCTTTGCCTTGTCTTTGGGTTCAGTCAGTGGGAGGTACCCACAGGAGATTAGAAGGCAGAAGGGGAGTGAAGTAAGGGCATGTATTTTCCTTGCTCCTTCTCAGCCAGGTCTCTATACGTCGCTGTGTCAAGCTACCAAAAGCAGCTACAAATACTACTCTGAGTTAGAGTTTTGGCTCTATTGCTTAGCGCCTTTACACCTAAGAATGGGTTTCCCAGACACAGGGTACTGCACCATCTCTTAAGCCTGCCCATTTTTTTTTCTTTTTTTTTAAGAGGCAGGGTGTTTTATCGCCCAGGCTAGTCTCGAACTACAGGCATGAGGCACCACACTGGCTATCTTGCCCATACTTTTGTAGAGTTCTTTCATTAAACTTATGTCAATCGTTGTCTGAGTTGCCATCTGTTTCCTATCAGAATGTGACTGACAAAGGAGGTTTACTCAGGCTTTAATAATGGGCAAATACATATGTGATGGGACTAAAGACAAATAGCTGAAGCGGAGAGCCTGACCAAGGCTCTAGAGGCTGCATCTCTTGCCTCCAGTTCAGTACACAGTAAGTAGAAGGGGAAGGTTCCCAGAGGTCAATACTACTGTGAAAACCAAGTCTGAAGGTCAACATTTACTCCACTTCAAAAGCTCCCTACAAGAAATCATAAACATTACCACCCATACGATCAAGCAAACCATTAGTTAAAGATAGCAGGAAGTGATTATTGACTATTTTGTCTGCAGGCATTTGCACTAAAGGCTCCCTGCCATCCCTTGAACTGGTTAGCTCCTATTCATTCCTTAAAGTTTCAGTTTAGATATCAGTATCTCAAGGCCAAATAGCACTTGATAATGGGGCCAGGACTGAAACCCAGGTCTTTTAACTTGAAATTCTCTATGAAATACTACTGCTATTTACATATGTACAGTGAGGCCATTGCCACTGTAGCAGCTGCCCTACACCGTTGCAACTTCGTCTCAATTGCAGGCAAGAGACTCTTCTTTTTTAAATACAAAACTTCATGGCTCTTATTTTTATGAACTTTCTTCCAGTAATATCTAATAGTCTGGTGTGTATCCTCAAACCACTGAAGACTATTACTTATGATAAGACAATCTCTAATCATAAAAGTGCCAGGTTTTTGTTCAGATTTATATTATCCATACGACAGAATATACTGAAGGTAATTGTAAAAGCTTTCTGTCTGCATGAATTGTTGATATATTATCAAAGCATTGATTTTCTTTCTAGAAATTGGATGAAATTTATTTATTGTCCCTTTTGAAAAATATCTTAATAGTGTTATATTATGTTGACTTTTAAACCAACTCTTCTAATTTAATTTCATTAATATCAATTTCTACCTGAAAAATGATTAATCCCAAACAATTTAAAGTGAAATCAATTGTGAAACATTAGCTGAAAAATTCCTGGTGAGGACAAAAGATCTGTGATTACAATGTCAGAAGCTTGGTGAAAAATTGCCTGAATTTGATTGACTGCATAAATTTCTATCCCCTAAAGGCTCTGCCCATTTCTACAGTGCTAAGCCTATCACAAAAGTAATTTTTAAAAATGTTTCAAATTCATAGAAATTAACCTTTGTCTAAAATGCTCTTTCAATGTTGAAAATACATTCTTTCATAATTAGAATCAAAAAATCACTAACATGATACTACTAATGAAACTCGAAGTTTTAAAAATCAATTTGATTATTCATAGCTCTATTTTCTGAGATTTCCTGGTTTCTGACCAGGTAACCTAAACTTAGAAGAGGAAATAAACATTTCCAAAGAAAAAGCATTCACAATTATTTATAACATAAAGTAGAAATCAGAATACAAAATGGTATGATATGATTATAACCTTGTAAAAGCATGTATATATATGGGCAAAAATAAAGGTAATGTAGAAAAGGAGAAAACCGTTGATTTGCAGGGTATTAGAATGGTGGATGTTTTTCTCTCGGCTAGTGTCAGAATGTTGTTGGAGGGTTGGGGAGACGGAGGGATTATATAAAAGGAATAAGATGACACTAAAGCCAACCCATCAGGAGAACTGTAATGAAGGGTGTGGACAGCAATGAACAGCACGGCCTCACAAGACACATTATAGAATATAACCCAAGAAAACTGTTTCACTTATTGTGGTTTATCTTCTTTTTCTTGTCTTTTATGAGAGCATGTGCAAAAAGGCTTAGGGATGTGTAAGCTAGAAAAGCTAAAGAACAGTTGCTGAAGCCATTTTTCTCTACCGTAAGTCAATGATTGCGTTAAGAAGGCGAACATTGAAATGGGGATAATCTGGCCCTTTCTACCACTCACCAGATATCCTGTAGGAGGTGTAGGATAGAAAGTTCTGGGGATATGATTTAGAACTGAGGTCCCCAATCCCCTGGCGGCTGCCAGGTACCATCCTGGGCCTGTTAGGAAAACAGGACCGCGCCTGAGCTCCTCCTAATCCCCTTTCCCCAGCTCCCCCCTTCCTCCCTAGCCCTGACTTTACCCCTGCGCCCTACCCCCCATCCATGGAAAAACTGTCTTCCATGAAACCGGTCCCTGATGCTAAAAAAGGTTGGGGACCACTTATTTAGAATACTTGTTCTATAGCTCTAGAAATTCGTTATGGCCAGAGAGACCTTACAGCTAGATAAAACTTCAGCTATCTGAAATCCTTTGGGTGTAAATTTCTTTGGTTAGTAAGCCAAGTTTCCCTAATGTCTAGAGGCTTGTCTTTTAAAGTTTCCAGAAACCATTTAAGATGGAAATATTTCTAGTATTTACCTTTTAGAAAGAGACAATTCAATTTATTTAACCTTTTTTTTAATGCCCTGGGTTTTTCATTACACATATTGATTACAGCGTCATTAAATGGCTATTGAGGGGTGTGTATGGCTCTTTTCTTCTATATCTTTGGGTTCAGGATAACTGGTGAGGATTTTGCTTTTTTGCATTTTTGTTTTATATTTAAGGAATAGGTTCTTAGAAAGGGCTCACAGAGCTGTCTTGTAAGTAAAACTGGATTTTTAGTACACAGATTTTAAAACATCAGATTTTGTTTTTCCTCCTGGTTCTCATCTGTAGATCAGACAGATGTAGCTGCTAGACAGCTGAGATACAGCTAAGTGAGGGGTCATTAGATAAGAAATGACTTGATCATTCTTTCCTAGCAAATGCTACTATCTCATCTTTCACTGAATTACCTTTGGTCATCAGCTCCATTTTGACTGCTGTTCAAGACAATTCTCCAAAGATCTGAGGATACTAGTTTCTTCTGGTCATTCACAAGATTGATATCTGGCAATTGCAGTTCACAAACTCTGCTTTCAGACAAACTAAATTCTTGAAATGCAACAAAAACCTTCTGGAGTTCATCCCAGTATTCCAAACTACAAGGAACCTATGTTAAAATAAAATTAAAAAAATTGTAAGTTGCAAATAGAGATTAAGCTTCTATATTTGCTGAAATTCAAACTAAATCTTCATAAAAGTTATAACATTAAGACTTTTAAAGGAAGACAAGGTTATAAAAGATAGTTCAGAATTTCTTTTCATAATTACTGTATATTCATACAGTTTATTTTAAAAGACTCACTCGAGAATATGTGAAAACAGCCAGTTTTTTAAACAAAAAAGAAATAATGAGGAACAAATTCTACAAGGTGTTAAATGTATTATAAACCAATAGTAATTAAAAGATAAGGTTGGAGTAATAACATACAAATGGATTAAAAGAACAGAATTAAAAAACAGAAAAAGAGGTAAGTACAGATTAAATTTTAGTATGTAATGAAGATTTCAAATAAGTAGGGGGAAGATAGAAAATGAAGTTTCAAGACCTGACTAGTCATTTGGTAAAACCAAAGTGGGTTCCTATATCATTCTTTACACAAAAGTAAAGTCCAAAAGGATCAAAATGTTAAAGGATAAAAAGTGAAGGCATAAGAGAAAAAAATCTGTTAATATTTTTAAAAATTTTATAATAGGGCAGCCTTTTCTATGTATGACATGGAACCTATGATAAAAGTAAATCTTAAAAAGCAAACTAGGATAAGACAGGTAATACTCAATGGCAGATGAAAGAATATTTGTTCTGATAGCAGAGAGCTCTTATAAATCAATGAGAAAATGATATGTAAGCATATATTAATAGAAAAGAGCAGATTTGCTCTAAAAGGGAAAGAGGTGGATTTGACAACTTCCATGTTCCTCCACTGTGCCAAATATCTACTGCAAGCACAGCATCCCCCTGGGGACCTTCTGCATTGCCCTTGTGGGACTTAGGGGCAAAGAGAACCAGTGTAAACACAATACTCATGCTGCTTGCCATGCTACAAGCAATAAAGTTCTTTGTTTCTAACCCAGGAGTCTTATGTCTCTTGCCAGAATCCATGAAACACTAATAGGACACCTTGTTATCTTGCATAGGGTAAAATCCCAGACCCTGACAGCAATTAGTTCACAGAAGAAATATACCCAACCAGTAAACATGAAAAAATACTCAACTTTATTACTACTCAAAGAAATGCAAATTAAAGCAATAATATAATATTTTTACTTATTAATATGGCAGTTTAAAAAGATTGACAGTTCTAATTTCTGTACAGATATGGGAAAAAAATTCGTACACAATATTTTTGGAGGGTAATTTGGCAATATCTATTAAAAATGCTTATTTTTTTTTACCTAAGAAATATACTTCTAAGAATTGGTTTTAAAGAGATTCCAATGCAAGAGTATGTGTGTGTGTGTATGAATGTGGGCATGCACATATATATGTATGTGCATATATGTGTATGTATATATATGCATGTGTGTATTTACTTCAGTCCTGTGTGTATTGGTAAGAAAAGTGAAAACAACTCAAATATCTATCAATAGAAGATTGGTTAAATATAACACACAGATCTATAGAATAGATTCCTACACAACTATTAAAATAAATAAGGAATATCTATATATATTAACACAAAAGACATCTAGGGCCGGGCACAGTGGCTCACGCCTGTAATCCAAGCTCTCTGGGAGGCCGAGGCGGGCAGATTGTTTGAGCTCAGGAGTTTGAAACCAGCCTGAGCAAGAGCGAGACCCCATCTCTACTAAAAATAGAAAGAAATTAATTGGACAACTAAAAATATATAGAAAAATTAGCCAGACATGGTGGCTCATGCCTGTAGTCCCAGCTACTTGGGAGGCTGAGGCAGGAGGATCGCTTGAGCCCAGGAGTTTGAGGTTGCTGTGAGCCAGGATGACGCCACGGCACTCTAGCCCAGGCAACACAGTGAGACTCTGTCTCAAAAAAAAAAAAAAAGACATCCAGGATATATTATTGAATTAAAAATACTTAGTTTTAAAATAAGAACATGTGGGTTGGTCCTATTTGTCTAGACTGGGCTCAGATGTGTTCCCTCTTCTGGAAGCATTTGCTAACTACCATCAGAGCCAATCACTGCCTTTTTTGTGTCATCGCTGGACCTAGTACACTATCATAGAACTCATACTTTGCAATTACTTATTTACATGTTTGTCTCCTTTAATAGACTCTGAGATCCTTGAGGGCAGAAATGGCACTCTATTTTTAAAAATATTCTTAGCATTTAACAGTTTCAGGTACATAATAGGATCTCAAAAAAGCTTCTGGAATGAATAGATTTCTCCTCAACCTTTCTTTCCTGAATAAGTGATTCCTAAACTTTCAATAGTAATAAATGTTACCTCCACCTATAACGAAGTTTCTTTTCTTTCCTTTAAACAGTGACTTGAGCATCCATGTGTGGGGAGATGCTAATGGAACACGGGAGGATAAAATGGATATGGAGAAGAGGCTAAGTGTAATGAAGCAGAGGTACCTGTTTTGGTCAGTGATAAGTAACATGTCCATGGCATTCCACTTTTAGCCACCACTTCTTGAAATTCTCTTCCTGCTTTCCATGACATAATTTTCTCTAACTTCCCTTCTCTGGGTCATTGTTCCTGTATTTTCTCTCAGCCTGAAATACCTGCCTGCTCCCTACTTTCTCACTGTCTCATGTCTAAATCCTTCCTATCTATCAAGGACCAAATCAAACGCCACCTTTCCATGAGCCTTTTCACTTCCTCATATGGAAAAATTCTTTCCCTTTTCTGAACACCAATAACTTTTTAAAATGGGAATCTGTTTCATAGCTCTTATCACTGTATACCTCATGTTGTAGTTATTTCTCTACATGATATCTTCTCTAGTGGCAACATTCCTTGAGGGAATGATTTCCATTTGGCTAAGTTTTGGATTTTTACAGCACCTGGCATAGTGTATACAGCAAATTTTCAAAAAGAGTTGTTGAATGAATGAATGAATAATTCATGAATGAATGAATATACACATACTGGGTGAGTCAGCCCATCTCTGACACATGAAAGATTATCTCCAAAGAAGATGGAAAGAAGATGAAAGTATGAACCTTGGAGTTAGATCTATTCAGTCTGGGACAAAGCATTTGATTTAATACAACATAGTAAGAGCTTAAGAAATGTTAGCTATTTAATTATTTACCCTTCTCAAGCAGGATGTGGAAAGTGGGGTCTAAACCCCTAGAGAGACATACAAAAATCTCAGTGGAAGAGGGCAAATTAATTTAGAAAAAGCATATTAATATACCTATTGTTTTTTGTAATACAAATAATGGAATGTAAAGTTCAACGTAATTTTCTTGGTGACAAGGTTATACAGAAAATAAGGTGAAAAAATTACTTGTTTCTGGCATTATCTCCAGAAGTTCTACATTAAAATTAATATATAATAGCTTATGAAAATTAGCTGTCACGTTGGAAAGCAGAGTAAGGCCTTAAGGAAAAAGTACTAATAAGTTTTGAAGTACAAGTCAAGAGTTGGAGTAGGTCCATAATTTAAAGCCGTCCAATCTGGGAATCATTGTGGGAAGCCATTAGGCAGTTTAGGGACAATGAAAGTGGAATGTACCAACAGCGGGGCTTAAAGAAGGAGGAATTGTTGAAGTTCAAAATAAAAGATGTGAAAGAATGCCAAAGAAAGACTTTATTTAATTCTCCACTTGTGTGAAGCTGGCTCTGTGGTTACATACTTCAATTAGAATATTCTCAGCTACTCTGAAAATTTAGAAAACAATAGAAAACTACTATAGAAATACACCCCAAAATACGTCAGTGATGCGTTTGTCAGGATTGTCCTTTATATACCCTATTTTCTTCAGTTAATAAAAGGGTATTAATAACTTCACACCAAATAAAACCTCTTAAAAAACTGTGTGTCTATAGGCCGGGCGCGGTGGCTCACGCCTGTAATCCTAGCACTCTGGGAGGCCGAGGCGGGCGGATTGTTTGAGCTCAGGAGTTCGAGACCAGCCTGAG